AAGGTGGAGAGAACTGCTTGATTTTTAACTGCGTTAATATTCAGTTGACTCTTAAGATAACAGGGAGGCTTTAGGAGCCTAATTAACCATGTATTTGCTCTAATTACTTTAGCTGCAGAGTATGAGGAAACAAAAGCAGCGAACAGACCTGTACTGTGTGCAACAGTCAGGCATTTGACAGTTGTTTGCTCCAGCAGATGTTCTGAATAGCATAGAAGTAAAGAAGCTGAAACCAAAGCCATCATCTGCAAGCGGTGGCCACAGCCGCAAATCAGGGGGCAGCCCTTCTCCCTGCGTAGTATAGAAAGCATCATTCATTGTGCATGGCTTCATTTATGTCCAAACACAGAGAAAGCAATCATCATCGCTAGCACCAGTTTTTAATAGCAAGGGTGGCCCCACATTTTTATCGACATTAATTGGACATTAGCTCACAAAGACTTTAGAGTTAATACTTAGAGGAAAAAAATATATATATATATAGTGGGCAAGAATAATAGTGCTCTTATACTGGTTACTTTTTTCTCTTAGGCTTTCTTCTCTTGAACAGTGACCATATTTAATGCAACAGTTTAATTTTTAAGCTAAGTAAGTCCACATTTCTATTATCCATTTTGATTTTAGCACAAGTGGAGTTTAGAACACTGATGATCATGTATGTGAGGAAAAAGGCTGATGAGTTTTTATTGTAGCGATTACTCGATTCAAACCACTGCTTTCTTAAAACGGGATTCACAGGAAATTTCTTCTAAAGGCAAACCCCATGAAAGGCATATTTCTTCATTAGAAACTGGTTTTAAAGGTACCATGGCTGTGTTTATCCATGTACCTTCCTATCTAGGTGTAAAATGCCTGCTGAAATGCTTGTGTTTCCCCCTCCCTCAGCTCAACTAGCAAACAAGAAATATTGTAGATTTTATTCCATCTTAATCTGTTGTTTTAAAAATCTACGTTTGAGGCTCTTGTTTCAGAGTCCAGCCTTTACAGAAACTGTACCTGGATATGGAAAACGATTTCTCTCTGGGGTAATTCATCATGCATATACAAAAAAATGCAACAACAACAAAGGAGAGACAGGAATATATACCCAAAGAAGAGTGGAACATTAAAGCCACCCTCTGGTGAGTTCAAGCCGAATACAAGGTCCCTACTTTTTGCCTGAACCATCTAGATGTCTGTACCACCCCTCTGCTTTATTTTACCTATGGAAACCTGACCTAAACAACTATCCTGTATCATTAAGTTGTCCAGGAAGATGAAAGTTTAAATGCATGTCAGACAAGCAGCAGCATCTGGTGCGATTCAGTAATGATAGTCTCCCCCAGAGAGCTTCAGTATTGGAACAACTTTTAGAACTGAGGAGATCTGGTTGATTTATGTAAAGAAAATAATGTTCTAGCCACACATTCTCCCTGTTCACAAGTACTAACATTTGCCCCATCTTCTCCCATTGTAGGAAACAGACAAAGTAAAATCCCTACCTGCAACATCTCGCTATATCTGTAATCACATTTGATGCAGCCAAATAATTGACTTTGGATACAAATGATCAGCCTTGGTAATCTTGCACTGTAATTGTTTAAAAAATGTTTTTCCATACTTCTTTCTAAATACATTGGTTATTAGTCCTAGGGGTTTCCCCCAGAGTAGAGAATAATGCCTGATAAAGAATTGTTTAAGAGGACCACATAAAATTTAACAAGTTTAGATGCTTTCCCCTACAGACTGCTAAGAGAACATATAAGCTTAGATAGATGAGATCATTTAAAAGAAGGAATGATCATGGTGATATTTGTGCGTGAATTGCTGTCTCCTACGCTGCACTACAAACGTCACTGTACCAAATTTACACACCACTCAACATAGAATAGAAATCAAGTTTAAATGCAATGTTTTTCATTAATAGACTGGGGGAAAAACTTGCAACAAATATGATGAAGTTTTAATATCTTTATTACGTAAACAAGTGGCGCAAGATAAATAAAAAATACTAAGAATCCAAGAGATAAAGCAAAGGGCATAAAAGACACTTTACAGAAGATAATCTATTGTCAGCAAATACATGTAAAAGGGTTTTTTTTTAATCTCATTGGTAAATAAAAATGCAAATTAAAGGCCAGTCCAATACCATTTCACCCATTTATCAGTGATTTAAAAAAAATAAGAATGCCCAATTCTGCCAATTAGTATGGTGACATGATAAACTGATAAAATATTTTTGAAAAATAAAGCATTGCATGTTCATACCTTTCACCCAGTAATTCTACTCCTTGGTTTCCAACCTAAGGGACTAATTCTAAGCATTAAAAAAAAAAAAAGCTATAGGAACAAGATGTTTGTTGCAGCACTACCTATAATATTACTAAATAAAAACAGCCTAAACAGCCCAAAGCAGAGGGATTCTTAAGTACAGTAATACACAGCTGCCTAGAACCGTTTGCAGTTTTTTAAATGACGTTTAGGCTGATCCATAAGAATACAGGAAAATGTTACTTTGTAGCGCTGAAAAGGACAGGATACAAAATGATAAACACTATAAGCCTACTATTCTATGACAAAACCCTGTAACGACACGAGGATTTAAAAATCTCTTATTTTCAGCACTTTCCAGATTTTATTCAGGATGCCATTTAATGTTTTTCAATACATTTTAATATGTCATGCTTTTACTAGCACTTCCAAATGCATTGCCTTGTTTTCAAAACATTTCTGTCTAAAGCAAAACCCTATGTTTGCGAAGACTCATGAAACATCATAATACCTATCACGAAAATCTCAAATTATTTTATTCATCATCATTTGCGTTTGAGTATAGAAAATCTTCTATGTATGTGACCAGCCAGCTGAAACATGTAGGGAGCCCCTCCAGTCAGGGCTCTCTGAGCATCCACACTCATTCTGCTTCTGAGAGTCCTTTTCAGAAACGAAGGCTGCGCCGAGCACCTGTTAATATGCTGTGCTTACAAGCCCGCGGCAGCAGAGGGAATGTTAATGTTTCTAATATTTTGGAGAGAACCAAAACCAATTTCTTTTTCCCCCAAGTGGGAGTGTCAAGAAGGAGCCCTTCACCCAAATATGATTATGCTGCTCCTAAGAGAGAACATATTCTTAAAGGGGCGGGGATGGTGTTTATTTTTATGATGTATACATTGCCTCCTTTACTGTTAGATTTTATAAATAATACCCTTTGCAGCATCCACCGCAGGGCAAAGGTGAACGACATTCCATTCTTTCAGAGAGAAATATCATTTGTCTCCCCCTACTTTTGCCCCCCAAATCCCTCTTTGCACTTGTGGTCACTCCTTTGACATTTGAATGTAATACTGACCCATCTCCACACTTAGGAAGCTGAAATCCTAGTAAAAGACTAACTGCGAAAGAGACAGAGGGAGAGAAGGGGGGAGAGAGAGAGGGGAGAGGGAGACTTAAAGCGGTTGCACTTACACTCCAGCAGTTTTTCCAGAAACAAGGGAGGCAGTAGTTCTTATGTTTGTGATGTCAAATTGCAGAATGAAATTCAGCAAAAACCTTTCCTTGACGCGAGGGATGTGAACTATATTCTAGGATATGTATTCGGTGTGATCCTTTGTTCTAGGTACCAGCATTTCTTTTTCTAAAATTTTTCGATCTCGCTCAAGAAAACGGAAACAATATTATTTTGAAAGTCCCTTAAAGGCGCCTTTCGAAACATCTCTCTCGGGAAAATATCACGACAGCTCATCTCTGGCGTACTTCAGTTAAGAACCGAGTCCGAGTTGTTTCAACATGGCTGTATACTTTGCAGGCACCCAAATTCGTGCTTTCACAGACATCACTAATCAAATAGCCAGGAACCGTATCTTTAGCCAACCTGCGTTTCGTGGGCTAGAAATGCGCTCTTATCAGAGATCGTGTTATTTTAAAGGCAGAGCTGTTATTCGGGGGGCCTGAGAGAGTCGCGGGCTTTTGTCAGGGCTGAAGCGGGCTCGGGAATGCCTGCAGCGCGGTAGAAGGCAGGTCTGAGGGCCCTGGTCGTTAACATGTTTCCAGGGGGTGCCCACACTTTCTCCGGAGACGCTCAGCTCGCGGCGCCCGGCGGGAGCAAGGGGACCCGCCTGTGACAGGAATAGAGAATTTCTGTGAGGGACAGGAAGGGGGGGAAAAAAAGAGGGTGCCTGCCGCCAGTCCCCGGGTCACCGCGGCTCAGGGACCCGCACGAGTTTTAGCACTCCTATTAACAGCTACTTGCGGAGGGCTGTTTACCGCCCGCGTGCGCGACGAGCACAGAGCCGAGCCCACTCCCGGACCAAAGCCCCGCCCCCTCCCCTGACTCCCCTCTTGCCCCCCAAACTCATTAATTCAAAGCTGCCTCCCTGCCAGACACTCCCATTGGCTCCCAACCCGACCAATGAGAACCTTGCAACAGTTTCACCTGGTTCCCGCTTCCTAAATAAACAAACAAACCGTCCCGTGGCGGTGCTAGCTCTCCACCCCGGCACCGCCCAGGACACGCTGCGCTCCGCCCTCGCCACCACCTCTCGCCCCCTCCGGCCAGTGGAGCCAGGGCTGGGGCGCCCCCGCCCAACCCAGGTCGCGGGCCGCGCTCTCCTCCGCTCCTCCCCGTCTCCTCCCGCCCCCTCGTGCCTTCGTGGACTCCTCGGTAGGAACAGCGTGGCCGGGCAGCCCCGCCTCCTCCCGTCTATCCTCCCGAGGTTCGCCGAACGTCTAGGCCCGGAAGGAGGCGGGCCCGCTGCCCCCTCCCCTGCACACCTTGGCTGGCGGGGGCTCGCTCCCCTCCGCTGCACCGGTAGCTGGAGCCGCAGCGCCCGCCGCGTGAGGCAGCGGTCACGTGTTGTTTTGCCCGCCGCCGCGCGCTTTGAGTGGAGTGGGCGGGGGCGGGGCCGAGGCGGGAGGGGGCTAGGGCGGGCGGACCGGGGTAGACGGCCTCTTCCCCCAGCCCTCCCTTCCCCGAGCCCCCCCCCGCCTCCCCCTCGCTCCTCTTAAAACCACCGTGCATCACCATGGCGAGTGGCTCCTTCTCTCGCGACCAAGCGACAAGGAGACTGAGGGCTGCAGCAGCGGCAACGGCGGCGGCTCTCTCTGCGGTGGCGACCACCCCGTTTCTTTCCTCGGGCACCCCTACCGCACTCATTGGGACCGGGTCGTCTTGTCCGGGAGCCATGTGGCCCTCCACGGCCACCAGCTCCCGGTCAGACTCGGAGTCCGATGAGGAGGACCTCCCCGTCGGGGACGAGGTCTGCAAACGCGGCTACCTTCGGAAGCAGAAGCACGGCCACAGGCGCTACTTCGTGCTCAAACTCGAGACAGCCGACGCCCCGGCTCGGCTGGAATACTATGAAAACGCCAGGAAGTTCCGGCACAGTGTCCGCGCCGCGGCCGCGGCGGCGGCGGCTGCCTCTGGCGCCGCGGTCCCCGCGCTCATCCCGCCACGGCGTGTGATCACCCTGTATCAATGCTTCTCCGTGAGCCAGCGAGCCAACGCCAAATACCGACACCTCATCGCCCTCTTCACCCAGGACGAGTACTTCGCCATGGTGGCCGAGAACGAGTCGGAGCAGGAGAGCTGGTACTTGCTGCTCAGCCGCCTCATCCTCGAGAGTAAGCGCCGCCGCTGCGGCACGCCGGGCGCGCTGCCGGATGGGGAGCCAGCCGGGCCGGCGGCTGCAGCGGCGGTGGCCGAGCCACCCTTCTACAAGGATGTGTGGCAGGTAATAGTCAAACCCAGGGGGCTGGGGCACAGAAAAGAGCTGAGCGGCGTGTTCCGGCTCTGTCTTACCGATGAAGAGGTGGTGTTCGTGAGGCTGAACACCGAAGTGGCCAGCGTGGTCGTCCAGCTCTTGAGCATCCGTCGCTGCGGGCACTCGGAGCAGTATTTCTTCTTGGAAGTCGGCAGGTCCACGGTCATCGGCCCCGGGGAGCTCTGGATGCAGGTCGATGACTGTGTGGTGGCCCAAAACATGCACGAGCTGTTTCTGGAGAAGATGAGAGCCCTGTGCGCAGATGAGTACCGAGCCCGCTGCCGCAGCTACAGCATCAGCATCGGCGCCCACCTGTTAACCCTGCTGTCCGCTAGGAGGCACCTGGACACGCTGCCGCGCGAGCCCGGCGGCTGGCTGAGAAGGTCCCGCTTTGAGCAGTTTTACCACCTCAGGGCCATCGGCGACGGGGAAGACGAGATGCCCCTCACCAGGCGCTACCTGACACCCAGCGAACCCGTGCCCACCTCCAGGCGAGCAAGGCTGCACCTGCCTAGAGCGCGCAGGTCCAGGAGAGCGATTTCAGCGCCTGCCGGCTATTTTCGCCGCCTCCCAACCAGCCCGGTACGTGTCCCACATCCTGCAGAAGTCCCGAACCACAGAGCTGGCCTGTCTCCTGAAGCCTCTGGATCTGGCAACTCTGGGGAAGAAGACAGCCCCCAAGGCCAAGAGACTCAGGAAGGAAACGGAGGTGACTACATGCCCATGAACAGATGGGGCTCAGGCAACGGCCGGGGTTCCGGAAGTGGCCAGGGCTCAAGTGGCCAAGGCTCCAGTAGCCAGGGTTCACGAGGAAGCCAGTGCTCCGGCGGGGGGCAGGGCTCCAGTGGTGGCCAGGGCTCCAGTGGTGGCCAGGGTGCAGGAGGAAACCAGCGGTCAGGAGATGGCCAGGGCACTGCAGGTGGGCAAGGCTCGGGCAGTGGCCAGGGAGCCAGCGGCGGTGGACATGGCTCCGGTGGTGGACGGGCACCCGGAGATGGCCATGGCTCAGGCGGGGGTAAAAGCCATGGAGGGGGCAAAGGCTCAGGAAGTGGGAAAACCTCGGAGGGCAATGGTGAACGTGGAAAATCTCTGAAGAAAAGGTCCTACTTTGGCAAATTAACTCAAAGCAAGCAGCACGTGCCACCCCCTCCACCTCCACCCCCACCGGCTGGAGCAACTGGTGGCAAAGGGAAGTCTGGGGGAAGGTTCCGACTTTACTTTTGCGCTGACAGGGGAACCCCAAAAGAACGCAAAGAGGCCAAGGAGGTCAAAGACTTAGAGACACTGGAAGGTGTAGCTCAGGGGCCCCACAGAGCCAGAGCTTTTGACGAAGATGAGGATGACCCTTACGTGCCAATGAGGCCGGGGGTGGCTGCCCCTCTCCCAAGCTCCAGTGATTATATGCCAATGGCTCCTCAAAACTTCGCTCCTTCAAAAATGCACCACTCTCGATCACCTTTTGAAGATTCAAGAGGGTACATGATGATGTTTCCCAGAGTGAGCTCACCACCTGCCCCAAGTCCCCCGAAAGAGGCAGATCCTGAAAAGGAGGATGAATCAAAGGACAATGACAGTGAGAGTGACTATATGTTTATGGCTCCTGGAGCCGGTGCAATTCCAAAAAACCCCCCAAATCCTCAGGGTGGCTCTTCCTCTAAAAACTGGAGCTCTTACGTTTCCCTGCCAAACCCTTTTCAGGGCTCCGCATTGGGACAGAGTGACCACAGTGAGTATGTACCAATGTTACCCGGAAAGTTCCCAGGGAAGGGCCTAGACAAGGAAGCCTCATCCAGCGGGGGCCCCAAAGATGCAGTTTCAAAGCCTTCAGCTGAGGGGTCATTCTCAAAGCGTGGAGATGGGGCGTCACTGACAAAGCCTTCAGATGATGGCCCCCCCAAGAACAAGGCTAAGAGACCTAACAGCCTCTCTTTCATCACAAGAGGAAATAAAATCAAGCCAAAATCACAAAAACCCACTCGTGAGCAGAGAGGAGCTGACAGCTCTCACGACTACGTCAACATTGACTTCACTAAGAGAGAGAGCAATGTGCCTGCCCCCTTTATTCACGGACTGCCGGGTTCGTGGGGCATCATTGCTGGCCCCAGACCCTCAGCCTTTTCTAACTATGTGAACGTTGAGTTGGGACTGCCATTTCCAAACCCAGCACACAGGCTCTCGAATCTTTTAAGAGCCATTCCAGGTGCCAACCCCCTTTATCTGGAAGGTGCTAGGTGGCCACTTGTGCCTCTTCCTCCCAACACGGCAGGTGGCAGTGTGAATGAGGAAGAGGGTGACTACATTGAAGTGATTTTCAATCCAGCAATGACACCGGCCTTGCCTTTTGGTGACAGGGCCATTCGCTATGATGCCGAAACAGGTCGCATCTATGTGGTCGACCCATTTTCAGAGTGCTGTATGGACATTTCGCTCTCCCCTGGCCGCTGTTCCGAGCCACCACCTGTAGCCAGGCTGCTGCAGGAAGAACAACAGCCAGAGCGAAGACGCCCGCAAAGCCGTTCGCAAAGTTTCTCTGGGTCGGCCAGGGCCGCGGTCTCGGCTTTCTCAACCGACAGCCTCGAGAGAGACCTCTCGAGTCCCTTGGCTGCGGCCGCTGCTGCTTCGGCAGCTGCTCCCGCCTTAGCCTTGAGCCAGGCGTTTGCCGCCGCCTCTGCCCTCGTAGTGGCCCCGGGCATCGGGGCAGCCGCCAGGGGCTTGGAGGCCGCCGCAGGCTTTAACTCCGCCTCCGCCCGCTGGTTCCAACCTGTTGCTGGCGCCGCGGCCGCTGCCGAAGCGGTCAGGGGAGCCCCAAACGTGGCCGGTGGCTCGAACCTGAGAGCCCCCAACCCATCTGCAGACCTAGCTGGCGGTGAGAACGGGGCCGCAGCGGCCGCCCCCCGACCGCCGCCGCGCCGCCCGGTGCCGAGACCCCCGGGGCGAGAGGATCCTTACGACGACGACGACGACGACGACGACGACATCTACGTGAGAATGGACTTTGCCAGACCTGACAACAAGAAGTTCGACTCTCCCCGCAGAGGTGGGTAATTTGGGAATTCATTTCCCGAAGTTCATGGTTATTGCTTAGTGAATCGATGTCTACGGCATTAGGAAAAAGTGAGTTAATATTCCATTAACTGGTGCCTATTTAGCAAAAAAAGTAGATTTCAGTTTTCATTATGTGCAATACCTTGTGATCTTTGCAAAAATAAGTTTGGATCCAGTCATACATTTATCTGGAAAAAAAACCCGCTTATCATTTAAACATTGGTTCTACTTTTTAGGAGTAAAGTTTAAGAATGTATATATCTATCATGAGGATGCTTTCAAACATCCTTCCCTAACACTTAATGCCTTATGCAAACAGGACACCATAAATTGGATCTTATCAACTCCTTTTTAAATCAACAGGTAAAAGCTACTTTGCTACAAATACTCATATTTGGTTACAAGAATTTTAATAAGAGCACAGAATATTAAGCTGTAATCACGGACTGTAACTTTTGGGGGACGTACACTTTCTCCTTCAAAAGTTACTTTTTAAAAAAAAGCAGTCATTGTTAATTTTTAAAAAGCAGTCCATTGTTATGCTGGTTTGCTGGTGATTTATCAAGAAGGTTAAATCTCCATTGTTAGCCTGAATGTCTGGAGGGCACAAAACATAATCTGAAACAACAGGTGATTAAAAGAAGAGCATGTTTCCCTCCGAATGTGTTGTTGTGTTGATTTGTTTTGTTTTACACAGGATACGTTGCCAGAAACCTTGAGTGTTCCTTTCCTGTCACTAGTAGTGAAAGGGAGGTCACCTTCGCTGTGCCTCATTTTCTTCCTAAAACTCCCCCCAAAGAGGGAATGGTGACAACTTGATAATGGGTATGAATATTGTTTGAAAGGTTTAAAAAGCATTGAAAAGCATCTAATTGGTGTGTCTTCTGGGAAATCCAGTAAAGCAAGATAATATGGCTAGGGGAAGACCTGACCCCAGGGACAGCCTACCCTGGAACAGGGGAAGTGTTTTAAAGGGTTACTTTTCCAAAGGAAGAAATAAGGAAGAGTAGGAGCTGTCAGAATTGAAATGAGGACTTTGAGTAATTCTCTGTACTTTCTGCAATGTTATCAGTGCGTCTGCAGACTTTCTCAAGAAATGATTTCTGAAGATGATGTCTCCGTAGTCTCTGCCTTCCCTCGTCAGTAAGAATGTGCTGCTCTCCCAGTGCAGGGAAGGGATGGACCCCAGGAGTTTTCATTCCAGTAGTCAGTTTAGTGAAGATTTTTGCTTTGCTTGCTTTGTGGAATGCTTTTGTGATTGGATCTCTGCCCACTGTGCCTGATCAGGCAGAACAAGTCGGGGACTGATCACAACAGTCACCTAACAAGCTCCCTATTTAGTGCAGGTGTAGCCTCCTCCCCTGCCCTCCCTCCCCGCTTTAGAAAACTTGCCATACAAAAACTCACATTTGCAGCACGGACACGTTAAAGAGCGATCATTAAGATGACAAAAGGATGCTTTGGCTTGCCAGGGGATTCAATTCCCATCTCCTTTAAATTTTGAACCCCCCCACCCCCCGCCCAAAATACACGCACGTGCATGCACGCGCGTGCGTGCACACACACGATCACCACCACTGCCAGACCCATGTATTTAAAATATGTAATTCTGCTTTCAAGAAACTAACTCACAACCAGCTTTTCAGGAACAGATCTGTTTTAGTCTGTAAAGTACATTGAAAATTGGTCTCAAGCTTTTGCTCGAATCCAACTGCTGAAGCTACCATTTGTGATATTGATGTATGCGTGCCAAAGCTGCCTGTTTCCCTGTGGTTCTTTGTAAAGGACATGTTTTCCGGGACGTTTGTCTGGACTTTTCAATACTTTTTGTTTAAGCAGAGATTGCAATTAGCAAAATCTTGGTCCTGCAATAAATCCTGACTTCCCAAGGATTATCTAGATCCAATTATCATTATTTTAGCCTAAGTTGCTGACTTATAAATAGCTTCAGATGACGCAGCTATTTGGGAGGTTTGGTGTTACCGAAATGTATTGCTCCTTGAGGAAATTCCTGGCTTTACTGAGTAACTAGAGCAAGGAGGCTGCATCTGACAGGCAGGAAGGTGCTTAGGTTAAAATAAGAGAGTAAGTGTGAAAGCATTTGGGGACTTGAAAGCACTTTACAAAGACCTTTTTATTTTTGATTGGATTAACACCAAAGCGAAGTTTCCACAGTTTAAATTGATGGTGGTTTAGTTTCTTGCAAAAGTGATTGGTCCTGAGGGTGACTCAGACACATAATTTGCTGAGCTATATATAAAGGAAAGATACCTAGAAAGAACCTATTGCGGGAAATGGCATTTGTTTCCATTTTAATGTAAATTGATATAGTAGAATGTTGTCTGTGAAGTGCTAAGAACAGGACAGATAATTCTGATCAGTTTTTTTTTTTTTACTGTAAAGCTATAGAATAATTTTCACCCATTTTTGATCTCTCTTCACCTTCATATCCACATCAAATATGTGTGTATATATTTATCATATATGTGTCATGTTAGAAGAGAAAAAATATGCTTTCACAGAGGAACAATGGCATAGCCTTTTTTGGGAGTTATGTATCTCCAAGGGTAATTTTTTTTAAAGATTTTATTTATTTATTTGACAGAGATCACAAGTAGGCAGAGAGGCAGGCAGAGAGAGAGGAGGAAGTAGGCTCCCCACTGAGCAGAGAGCCCGATGCGGGGGCTTGATCCCAGGACCCTGGGATCATGACCTTCCTGGGATCATGACCTGAGCTGAAGGCAGAGGCTTTAACCCACTGAGCCACCCAGGCGCCCCTCCAAGGGTAATTTTTATTTATGGCCAGTACTTAGAACAGTGCCTAGCACCTAGTCAGTGTTGTATAAAAATTGTATAACCACCATTGTCATTGATGTTACTGTTATCATTACCTGTAGAGACACGAAATTCTCTGTCCTCAAATCCCACTTCTCAGTCTTTACTTTCATTTAAAATGGTTTACGTGGTTATTCAGGGTGGGGGTCTTTATAGTTGGGATCTGCTTAAAACGAGTAACATGAAGTGTGACTACAAAGCAGCAAGACGGCTTTGTTCATGTAACAAAAAATTAATACATAATCTCATTTACCTGCAATTACATTTCACATAAGTAAGTACTTAAGAGGCATTTGTTCAAGGCAATTCGAAACACCCAGAAATATAACCTGGACTTTACTTTTTTAATGTATTACATAATTTTTAAAGGGCAGAATCCACATTTTAAACACATGGGCTGTAAGCAGTAACATTTAGGAGAAGAATGTAGTTTCCTATTCGGTTTAGTCTGACTCCTGACTCATGTATGCATTTTTGCCTCTTCTCCTCCTGGGTTGGAGGTAGAGTTCATAGTTTGAAGGGACTTAAAGTGAAAAATTCAGATTTTTCTATTCCAGAGATAGGAGGATAAGGACAGCTTCAGAAGGGACAAGAGAATTGATCAGCCAAAATTAGTCATATTGTGATAGCACTTGGTATTAGAAAGCAAAAAAAAAAAAAAAAAATCCATAGTAACCACCTTTTGAAATGTTCAATACTGTTATTAACATGAAGACATGTAAGCTTCTTTTCAGTGTGCGACTGCCAAATCCTTTTGCTATAAATCACAGGGGCTAAAAGCAAATTGCTTTTGTTGTACTGGACTTAGTTATTATAAATTAATAGAATAAAATCTTCATATAGCAGAGATTTTTCCATCACCATTGATGGAACACTTATTTTAAGCAACATTTACCACCATCCCTGAAAAGAAAAGTTAGACAGTCATTTGGAGTAGAGGTAAGTGACCTCTAACAATTAAAGAGGACTTCATTCAATTAAAGTTAACTAAAGTCCTTGGCAGTCACTATGCATTTACATTCATCCTAATAGTGATGCTTCCAGGGCAAAAATCTCGGCCACTAGCAAAACATCTTTAAACAAGGACTAGGACTTTAACTGAGCATAGCAGAGTATCACACATGCATGAAAACACAAACAAGATCGCTTGCTTTCCCATTCTCTCCCAGATCACCAAAAATGAACCAAAATACTCTAGAGTCACTGGAAGGCAACTGTTTAGGGGAACAAACTCGGGCTTCTTTAGAATGATACAAAAACCTTCATGTTGGAATAGGTGAGAGTAATCAGTACAGCAAGAAATCAATATTGTGTATGATTTGAAAAGGACTGTTGTTGAATTGTTAACTTGTTGCCTGAGGAAATGTTTAACAGTTGCATACTGCTGTGTAATCTGCAAAACACATTCACATTCATTATTTTACTGGGGGACAGTAGGTCCTGGAACTGAAGCTGCTGTTAAGAACTTTCCCATGGTCAAAGAGGTAAGTGACAGAGCTGAAAATCAAACCCATACATCTGACCTTGAGTCCAGCGCTCTTCCCAGCCCATCACACCGTCTCTCATCGGATGTTCAATCTGTTATTTTCCTATTGATAAAAGGTTATTATGTAGGCAAGGTTTGAAAAAAATTACAAGTTTTCTTGAATTTAATAGTAGCAATTGGGGGGCAGGTAGTAATTCATTCAGAGTGTTACAGCTGTGAACCATCTGCCAGAGCGTGGGTAATTTTCATCACGTTGAGCTGTTTGCCATGGCTCCCAGATAAAAGAATTTGACCTGGACTGAAATTGAATGTTTTAAATCTGGTTTGGGGAGGAGTTTCCTGATCTTTACCTCTTCAACACAAATGGCATGTGTTGCTATTTGGGTCCACCCGGAAACACTGCAAGGAATGGAAAGTGAGATGGAGGTGCCTTCCCTAAACTTCCATTAATGGTCATTTCCTTAACTGAAGTCAGAGAGCTTTGGTTTTCCTAATAATCCATTGCCATTTGCCGGCTACAGCCAAAAGTCTCTTCATTTCATTTTTCCATGTGTATCAAATCTGATATTCTAATTTAAACCATCACAGTGGGCACAACAGGATAGAGTGAGACAGGTGGAAGCCAAAGGGTGCTAGAAATAGATGCTCCTCATTTGTTTAAAAATCAAAGTTGCTCTTGGCAGTCAGGCAAATAGATTTTAGAAGCCTTGAAAATCAAATCCTCGGGACATAAAAATCCTTGTTTAAAAATAAATTCATTTTCTTTAGCACCTTTTTTTTTTTAACGTTTTAAGACTATGTAAAAATACCCCAGACGTTTTATTGCCACTATTGGAAAAATCAGTTTTGTAAAATGCTTAATTAAAGCCTGCAGTATGGTTTGTCTAAGATGCCAGGCTCTCAGATGTTTAGAATCATTCACTGAAAAACGTTGCTTGGTCCTGAGTAAGAAATGAGAAATTAAAAGTGCTACCTTTTATAATAATGAAATGAATACATTGCAACACATTCAGTTTCTACCACGACTATCAGCTTGCTAATTTTAGAGCTATTGATAATATTGCCAAGATACTGTGCTTGCCATATGAACTTAAAATACATGCTCTAGCAATTCTGCCTTGGCTATTGGTCGTATAGCATCAAGTCCTACATTTCCATATTCTTTTAGAAAAACAGAGTCGTCTTTTGAAAATGTGGGCTGAATGCTGGAGAAATAGGATCTTTTAAAGAGTTTTTTAAATGTAGACATCTATCCTGTTACAGGTGCGCATTCTTTTCCAGGACACCTTATAATTTCTTTTCCAGGACACCTAATAATTCATTTTTTTAAAATTTTGTTTATTTGAGAGAGAGAGAATCAGCATGGGGAGGGGGAGGGGCAGTGGGAGAAGCAGATTCCTCCAGCTGAGCGGGAAGCCCAAGGTGAGATTCCATCCCAGGACCCCCAGATCATGACCAGAGCTGAAAGCAGACACAAAACCGACTGAGCACCTGGGCGCTTCGAAAGGGTGCCATAACATTTTCTGGTTGATTCCTTTTAGAACTAATGGAAAACATCTACTTAAATAGTTATTTAGTGAAACGAGAAAGTTACTCTTTCTCACTCGCTTCATAATACCCCTTTCTCGTGGGCTAGGGTTGTACTGGTTGTACCATGTGAGTCTTGCCCTCATGTGCCTTTTGCCAAAGGTGTGTCCCTGATTATAGGAAACCATATCATCTCCTGGTCTCTCCCTGGCTGAAACGGTGAGGACTGCTCTGGGAGGCGTGCGGGGCCCATGGAGGACTCATCCCCCAAAACTGCATGTTGCTCGTTCCTACACCACTGCCTGTAGGGGCTTAGCTTGTAGGAACAACCTTCCTTGAAGAGCTCCTTGTTTTGCAGGTCCCAGGCATGGCTGCCTGCTCTACTCTCACTTTTTGGCACAGAGGCTGCTGGGCCAGTGTTTAAAGCTATTTTCATGGTTGGATTGACCACAATATGTCTGACGCTAGCCAGACCTTCTGGATTTACTGAATATCCAATTCCCCCCTAAATTGTAGTGACTTTAGCTAGTTTTCATAATTTATATTAGCTGCCTATCTATAATTACTAATTTTCTCCTTGTAAGCCTGAACCTTAGGGAGAATATCAATGAAGTCTACCTCTAAATGCATCTTGACTTTTATTCACACGTGTACCCATGGTGCCCTGGAAAGTTGGACCAATAAATGTTGTGCCTCCAGCCTCCCAGGCTTGCCAACACTGTCTTCCCCCTCTGAGCCACTTGGGGTTTAGGGGGACACTCTTCCTCTTGCCACAGTTTAAAAATATTTTCCTGGAGTCTTAAATTGAAGCTTCAAATACATCCTTCCACAGAAATGAGGTGTTGTAAGTGATGGTTGGGTATGGTCAAAGTAGCTCCTCTGTTTGTTCAAGAACTGCATAGGTTAATGTAGGCATGTGTTAGGTGAACCTATGAACCTATCCACCTTTTATTTATAACATTGCTTCTGCGGGATAATTTATTCCGAGTTTCAACCAAACAATGAGCCTGGGAATATGTCTCTTTTGTAAATTAGAGACCGCCTATATGAGAATTCTAGTCACTTGCATTCTTTAAGTCCACAGTAACTAGGCAGCAAAGTGAAGTGGCCCAAGTGTGTGTTGGGAGGTAGTAGAGAAGTTGACCCCAAGATAAAAATCCCAGAATAGTTTGTATCCAGATAATCAAGACTGGAATGAACATGCCTATGTGCTCCAGGGCCCGCTAGTGAAGGGCAGGCGTATGACAATTGAAACTGTCCTTTGAGGAGATGGAGGTTTACAAGTGTCATCAATTTTCCTTAGAGATCCTTTTGACTATTCTGTAACACACCCGTTACCCCCATGGGGAGAAGCATCTACTCTTCTGGTCCAGGAAGGAGACAATAGTCTGGTATGATTGATGTAAAGACTAGCAACAGTTAGAGTCAGTTTCCACCCTTGAGGGACAGCACTTCGATTTTTTATCAGTTCCTAGAGAATCACCCTCCTGTATGTTCACAGGACACAGAAAGGTGTGATGATCCATTCTTATTGGGGAAAAAGAGAGAGAGAGAACTATATTCTCTCTAAATAATATAGTTGTGTTATGGTACATTCATCTTTGGGGTCTCTGCTTCCATTTCTCTTCATTTCCTTTCATTTGTTTTTCTTTGATACTTTGCTTGGCTGCCCCCATTTGTGTGATCACCCGTTGATTTCAGGGAGACGGTGTTGACGAATAAGTGTAATGAGGAATGTTCAGAAGAACTTGAGAAATAGTGTTGTGAGTTCTAGGCAAATAGGACTTGAAGAGATAACTAAGGCACTGAGATGGGAGAGAGTGGAAAGAGAAAGAATAACTGGATTCATTGTTATCATTTTGGCTCTCTCTAGGCAAGGGAACCATTGCAGCTTTGGCCTTCAAACTGTAATAGAGGCATGTTTATGGTTCGTGTAAAGAGGTCTGGAATGCCCCGGAGGAACAGCTTTCTTGGCTCACCCTACAAATTTCCAGGGATATTGAAGTCATGTGTGCTTTATTAGTATATTAAAGATTAATGCTGAGGTTTATAACATTATACAAATTGAAACAGAAAAGTTTACTTCACTTGTTTTCAAGAAGACAATAATACTTGCCAGGTTTGGGGGGCAGGAGTCAGAAAATGTGCTGACCCATTGGAGTCCAATGAGATTTTTTTTCTCCCTTCCAGAGAAAAATTGCTTGGAGAATACAGCTCCCATTAAAAGGGGTGGAACTAACTCATCCTTAAAAATAAGAATATCCAATAAGGTCATCATTTGTAACCTGTCAGTATCGAGTGGCACGACACAGCAAAAACATGCCACATTATTCAAAATGTCACCGTTTACTTTTCTGGTGGTGAAATGACCTCAAAATGAACAAGAGACAAAAAAAAAATGAACAAGAGACGGAACTAATATGTGATTATCAGCCCTTTGATACTCATTTAGCAGAGCATTTCTGGTGGAGTTTTAATCCTGAATTGCTTTCCTTTGCCACCCAGCAAGCTTCTGAGTTACTTCCTTCAGCTCTTCTTTGGAATGTGCTCAGGGAATGTAAACTCATTTTAATATTGGCCTCAGTGAAACAGGATTACCAAGGTAAATCTGTGACTCGAGTTCCCATAGTGCATTTTGAAAGCAAATTAAATTATTTTTGGATTATCTTGTATAGGATAGCATTATCCATTTCTACTAGCATAGTTAATCAAGAGCTGACAAATATATTTCATAATGTAAACTTGAAGTCACACCATTATTTTCTCAGTTTTCAGTGTGTTATGAAACATTCAGTCAGCATTGGCAGAGGTGGTATTGGAAAGCAACTGAAATATGAATCAGTTTTTCAGTAAAGTCTCATTTAAACAAGAGTAAAGAAGAAAGTAAAACAACTCAAGTGGTAACAAATACCCTTAATTTCGGGCTCAGTATAATTGTTGATGTGGTCGTCATAGGAGGCTTAATTTGTATGTTTCTAGAAAAGATATGAAATGTGATGTGTAGGTCAGTCAGAAATCCCTTTTAAAGTACATTCAGTGTGCTATATAGGAACATGTTTTTATATCAAAACAAAGTAGCAAATGAAATTAGCTGAGGTAGCTTTCTAGCCTTAAATTTCTGTTAAAAGTATCTAGCTGAGGGCGCCTGGGTGGCTCAGTGGGTTAAAGCCTCTGCCTTCGGCCCAGGTCATGATCCCAGGGTCCTGGGATCGAGCCCCGCGTCGGGCTCTCTGCTCAGCAGGGAGCCTGCTTCCTCCTCTCTCTCTGCCTGCCTCTCTGCCTACTTGTGATCTCTGTCTGTCAAATAAATAAATAAAATCTTTAAAAAAAAGCCTATAAAAAGTATCTAGCTGAGAGTTTGTGCAAAAGTCAATGATGCTCATTTTGTAACAGGTAATCGCATTGCTCAGATGCACTCTTGTGGTGAACTCTTGGATACTTTTCATCCTGTGTAAACTTGATAGATCCACGGAACCTGAAATTCTCTAAACCCCGCTGCTGACAGGAAAACTTAATATCTTTACTAATCTAGGGTGTTTTTTCTTTTAATGTGACAGAACCCCCCTATATAATGAGACTGATAGCCTCAAGTAGGTGGAAAGGGTGATGGACACATTTGATGACTTCATCCACCTGCAAGTTGTTACATTTTTTAAAACCTCCAGTGCAAGAACAAAGTTGTAATGTATACTGCTGCTTTAAGACAAGATCTTGTACTTGAAGCCTACTAGGGGCGGGGGAGGCTTTCCATGGATTTTTTGAGATTGATTGTAATGAGACAGAGTACGTGGTACTTTGATGGGACCTGATCTTAAAGGAACACTAGCATCCCATAATCCATTTACTAACCATTTATCCCCATCCATCCCCTCTCCAGCCCAGTGCCTTCTCCAATGTACCAGACCCCCATTCCTCTTGTCCCACTCCCTGTTATGCACCCTCTCAATAAGCAGAAGGCCAAGAGAATAATACCAGAGCTGCTTTTTATTAGACAGATGAGGATGTCAACCAAATCTCCTTTACAGGTATGACTTTGCTCTTTTAGAATAAATTCAGTGACCAAGGCTGGAGTCTCTCGCCAAGGCTGTGCTCAGATCCTTTGACTCTGTGCCACAGAATCTGGTGAGGGCATAGTCAAGCGTGTAGGAGAAGACAAAAATTCTCTTTGTCTGCCCAATGCTTGGCTCACTTGGTGGCCCCACTCACTGGGAGGAAGTAGAACAGTGCATGCTCAAATGAAGTTGCCTTCCACCGGACATGTCAGAGTGACAGTCGGGGGGCAAAAGAAGGAACTGCCCTTGAGTTTTTGCTGGGCTGGTGCTAGTGTTTGTCACAGGTGGCTGACACATTTAGGCACGTCCACGCCAAGTCAGACTCCTCTGTATGGCTCTGAAAACCACTAGTTTGATTTCCTTTCATTTTAGAGGTGGGAGTTGGGGGATGGGGGTAGGGGGGAAGCACCTCACACTTTAATTCCGAAAGTAACTTTCTGTTCTGTCGTCTTTTTTCTTTTCCTAGAGTGATTTCATTGCCACAAAAACACACTTTAGAAGACAAGTGATGCTTATGAAGTTTCATCTTTGTCCACTCCAGATCTGCCTAAAAGAAAGAAAATTCAGAGGCTTCTGAATAGAAAACAACCTGAATTTCTAAAAGCTGAAAAACGGATGCTGGCAGGTGAATGATCCTAACATAGATCATTAGTCCTGCTGCTTTATGGATCAAGTAATTTTGAGTGGAGAAATTCACTCTGTACTTTGTTTTTATTTTCTGGTTTTCCCCCCAAATCTCTTTGAAAGGAAACAAATATTACAAAAGCAAGGCTCTCATAACTCCTTTAACATTAAAAAAATGTTGTTTACATATGTATAAATGTGGCCAACACCAATTTCACTGATGTTTAACACTTAGATTTAGTTTTGAAGCTGAAAATCCTTTACACAAGAGCAGAAAAAGAGAAAAATAGTTACGTTCATGAGAAGGTAGGTATAATCTGGAATCTTTTTCTTCTGAGTACATAAAACATACATAATACATTTCTTGATCAAGGTGTTAAATGTCAACTGGACTTGATGGGACATATTCAGTATCTTAAAGACAGGACCAAAGGACAGACTACCGCAGTTTTTCCTCATTAACTGCAACATTCTGTCCACATTAAATGTCAACTGAACTTATATCTTGAATGAGCACTTTCAACATTTTAAAGGCAGAATGGAGGAACAGATTATTTGTTCATATTCTGCGATGTTCTGCCTGCAAATCAATTGAGCATTTCCAAACCATTTTTTTTTTTAATTTTGAAACCTACATTTTCCCCTTTAAAGAAACAAAGTTATTCAAAGTCTCCTCACAGAGCCCCTCTCTGCCTCTCTGGGCCTCCCCCCTCCAACCCCCCATTCTCCCCCTCTCTCTGGCTCTCTGCTGGACACACACTTTCCCTCCCATGCCCAGGGCTCCTATTAAGAGATCAGTTTCCCGTATTCAAGAAATTGCTGTTGTATGCATCAATCAATATTCTGAAACTTAAGCCAAAAGGAACCTCTTATAAGGCCTGTTTTCCTTAAGGATAATGAGCCTGTATAAGATGTATCAAATTAAAAAATCAGAGCAAGCATCCTCCTCCTGTTTTTGCTTGCCTCTGATGGAAACTGAATTAAGATTTTAGGAACCTGGACCTTTGAGACATGACACTAACAGGTGGTGATCACAGAGGATAGGTACAAAGGTCTTGAAGCTTGCTTAGAGCTTTGTTTCGTGGCGGCACACAAATTAGAACTTGGGCCATCACTGGCAAAAATCATCGTATCACAGATGGGTGTGAGTGTCTGTGTAACTGTGAGTGCTAGTGTGTGTGCGTGCACACATATTTGTGTGTATGCACACCTTTGTGTACCTGTGTCCACGTGATTGTGGGTGTACCTGTTGTGGAAACTCTGTTAAAAAAAAATTGCTTCGCATTTAACGTGCAACTTTGAAGTAGTGTACTATTTACCTGAAGTTTTTTGCCACTCGGTTTTGATGTCTTTGAACGTGTACTTCTATCTTCAAGCAGGCTTTCTAGTACATGTTGCTAAACTAACTTTTCCGAAGAGCCGAGTTGACTTTTGTTGTTTTTCCTTGCCTACCAACCAAAGGGATGGAGGGGGCTCTTTTTTTTTCCCTCGTGAACGGGGCGGGGAGAGGATGTAACCGCAGTCCCAGTCACTCCTTCAGTGCCTGGTGATCGTGAGGGCAGTAGGTTTCGTCAGTTCCTTTAGACTCTTCTCTTTTCCCAACCTAATCAAATTGTGTGTTGTGGCTTTTGTTCAGTATGGTAACAGTGCACTCTCTAGGCAGCCTTTCTTTAAGCCTTCTGTCACCATTTTTATTTTCAACTAAGTTTTAAGTCACAATCGTTCAGAATTGTGGAAAGCAAAGATGATTTGGGGGAAAATGCTCTGTTGCTTTATTTGTATATTAGGTTCAGGGGGCTGCTGGCAGACAGGGTACAGCATTGAGTGTAACACTTGCTGAATAAATAGATGGGAAACCCCATACACAATAGTACCTACAAACAGTCACAGATACAAGTAGTCACAGGTACGTAAAGTCACGGGTAGAGCATAACAAATAGGCAGTCTTTCTGACACTACTTCTTACTTTACAGACACAACTGGTTTATTCAGTATTGTGCTGGAAGAATCCTTTTAAAATATGTGTACCAGGATATCACTTACTTTCCAGCTACTGGTTTATGCTGCTGTTAAGAAAAAAACAGTGATGGAACGATTATTATTATTATTTAATTTTATTTTTGTTTTTTATTTTATTTTATTTTTTCTTGGTTTTGTGACCTCTACATTTAATTTGGTATCAGACACAGTCACTTGGTCAGTAAAAACTAAAACTTTACAGTTCCAGTGGTTCATCACATTTGCTCTTTCTGCTTCACAGATCTGCTTTGAGTTGCTCTGGCTTTGTCTTCCTTTGTAAATACTCTTGTTTCTTTGAAAACATCTCATTTGCTGTTTGGGGAGACAACCTCGCAACTTTGTATAGTGTTTATATATATATCTGACTTGCCTTTCCATAGAGCTACTCGCAATAAATGTGTTCACGAAAGTTCTTATGTGTGGAGACTCATTTTTCTTAATAGCGTCGTCCCTACTCCATTGTAAATATAGATACCTTTTCCGGCTCTGTGGAAGCACTTGACTGCATTTTTCAGAAAGAGCCGGTGGGATGAGTTAGGATTTGGGTAAAGTTTACTATGCTTAGAAACACAGGGCTTCTCAGTGCTGTTAATACGTTAACCCCCTAGTCTCCAAATGTGGAGCTGGTGCTAGTGTAGAGCTTTGCTGAGTTTCCTTGCAGGACTGTGATGTATGAATATATATAGAATCGACCACTTGGTGAGGGTAAGGTAATCATTTACAGTTTTCTTTCATCTCCCTCTTTTGCCACGTACTCTTGCCCTTTAATTGACTTCCTTTTCATTCACAGTTGACCCTTGAACAACACAGGGCTTACGGGCCCTGACCCCCGCATGGTCTGAAATCCACGTCTAACTTTTGATTTCCCGAAAGCTAACAACTAATAGCCCATTGCTGACTGGAAGCCTTACTGATAACAGAAACAGTCCATTAGCACATATTTCATGTGTTATTATGTATTACATACTGTGTTCTTAAAAAAGAAAACATTAAGAAAATTGTGAAGAAGAGAAATTACATTTATGGTACTGTAGTGTATTTATTTTTCAAAGAATCCATGTCTAAGTGGACCTGCACAGTTCAAACCTATGTTGTTCAAGGGTCAAATATGCTTATTTTCAACCACGGGGAAGGCAAATAGGAGTACATAGAAAATACACTGATGAACAGACAGAAAACAGTTCTGCATTGATGGAATATAGAAGGATGGATGCGTCAAATACCAAGAACATACCAGTAAATTATATCACTGGACTTATGAAAAACCAAAGATTTAAAGGAACACTAGAAAAATAATTGTCTCCCTGACTATTTCCTTTAACAAATGATCCTTGCCACACAAAAGGGCATTGAAAGTAAATAAGATTTGGGGACCAATGCTTGACCAAGGCTCAATGGGTGATGGGGGGGGACCTGTAGAGTTAAATGGGGAACAGGGTAGGGAGTCGGTTCCCACATTATGTGCGTAATCCATAAGCTACATTGTATATTTGCAGACAATTGAGCTCATTGTGCAACTTGACCTTACTGATGTACTTGAGTTGTGCATAAAGAACATCACAATGGGAGGGTGTAATTAGACTGTCTTTGTCATCAGAAATTATCCGCAACAGAGACCATCTTTAGAAACAGGTTATATATTGGGGTGCCTGGGTGGCTCAGTTGGTTGAGCATCAGACACTTGGTTTCAGCTCAGCTCATGATCTCATGGGTGTGAGATCGAGCCTCACAACATCATCAGGCTCTGTGATCAGCGGGGAGTCAGCTTGAAGATTCTCTTCCTCTGCCCGTCCCTGCCATACATGTGTGTGCATGTGCATGTGCACACTCTCTCAAATAAAGAGATAAACCTAAAAAACATATGAATATATATTTATTCATCACACATTTTAATGTCACAGATTATATATGAACTTTAGCCCTAGTCCTCACTTGGAGAGAGGCAATCTATATCTGTCAGGACACAGCCCAAATGTATGTTATTCATCCCAAACAGACCCACAAAGACATGGGCACATCTGTGCTTACCAAGACCACACGATCTCTGTGTACTCATTTGGTGATTCACATCTTAATGGGACTAGAATTCCCAGAACAGTAGACATAGTGTGGCTGGCTTCAACAATCAGCAGAACTCATTAGCTGGAAAGATCTATATTGTATAGTGCCCTAACAGAACTTCAGCTGCTCCAGTCCCCTGGTTTCATACATAGTAACCACATGCTCACTATAGAATGTGAAGTGGTACTGTTTCTTTAAAGCATAAAATCTATTCAGAAGACTTATCAGGTAAAACATGCCTAAGTACACACTAGTTAAGCACCTCCAGTGACTGCTTTGAAAAATATTACTAGGTGCTAATTGAACCCAAAAGGCATCTTGGAAATGCACCTAAATGCTCTTTTTAATGTTTTGAAAACAAAACTGCCCAAAGGCAGAACCCGGAAAATGTGAGTATGAGAATTTGTGTGGGTAAGCCAGATCAGGACTCCTAATTTATAAAACGTGCAAAAGAGAAATTATGCAAAATCAATGCACAGAACGAGGTTGAACTGTATTCTGTTTGAGAAAAACCAATTCATTTTCCCTCTAAGGCATGCATGTTAATGGTGCTGGTTTTCAGGCAGCTACCTTAAGTCCCAGTTTGCTGCTTAAGTGTACTTCAGAGATAAGAAATGCAACCGAGCTGTACGAAATGAGACAACTTTCCTCCTGTCTCTTGTGCATGATAAATGCTAAAGCAATTAGGAACCACTGTTGCATGTTACATTGGAATCTGTCAGTAACATCAGTGGTGTGCTATATAAATGGAAGAAACTTATTTTTAGAATAAAGTCCCCAGAACCTAAGAGGATACTACTGGTTTAACTTCATATTAAACATTTTGGTCTATAGAATTGAACTAAAAGCAATGCCTTCCTTGATTTTTCAATC